CTCCTTGCTCTTGCTCAGCGACAGGTCGCCGATCTGCTGGGGAGGGATCTTGATGAAGCCGATCTTCATCCCCGGCGGGATCACTTGAGCCCCAGAGGAGCGAACACCATGCTCACCATCGCGTCGTTGACCAGCAGGCTGCTCCCCCGCGGCTTGTTCGGCGTGTTGACCGTCGCGCACACAGGAATCACGATCTTGACCGCCGGCTCGTCGTGAACTCGCGCGATCAACGGCTCCGTCGTGATCTCGGGGTCCACCAGCACGACCCCAGCAGCTCCAGCCTGCTGGGCATGGAGGACCTTGATGTTGTAAGGTACGGCCCTTGCTGGAGGTTTGGGGCCTCGCAGGACGGCGACGATCTTGCCGCGAACCTCCGCGGCGTTCCAGAGAGGAACGTCAGCGTAGCTTGGACGAGCCCAGACCACCCGAGCTGAGACGTCGCGCATGTGCCTGTAATGGTGGGGGGTGAGCTGAGGAGGAGGAGGGAGCTGTTCCTGGGCATGCGAAAGGAGGATGCTGGCGCAGGTGTCGAGCCGAAACTCCGGGAGGACGCGAGCAGGCAGCTCATCGCGCTGCACAGGCGTCGGCTCCTCCCAGATCGGCTGGGCCCCATCGAACGTCAGACCCAGCAGAGCTCCAGCTTCATCCCTCATCCTGCCTGACACTGGGTTGCCTCCCTCGAACTTCCCTCGGAACTGCCTCCTGTCCTGGAAGACGTAGAGGCCTTCCCCGTGCATCCTCCCTCCCTTCATCTCCCCGTGGTACTCGGAGCCGTCAGGCCAGAGGATGGAGCCGAACCCGTTGGGTATGCCGTCCTGGATGAAGCCACAGTACATGAACTTGTCTTGCTGCACGACATGATATCCGTTCAAGTCATCTTGCTTCTGGCTGATCATCATCATCCTCCCTTCGATCTCTCCTTCCTCCTCCTGCCTCCCTCCGTCGCTCTCTCTCGCTCCTCCAGGCTCTGCCGCACTCCCTTGGCTCACCTCCTCCACCTCCCCACT